CTAAAAGACAGTGCACCTCGCGTGTTTCTTCCCGCCGCGAATTACCGCGCGCGCTCCCTCGAGAGATCTCGCTTGACAATTCGACTCCTACGCGAGTGACACCTTGGCGAGGGAGAAGCGGAAGGGAAATTTTGATGAAACCGAGAAGAATGTAGTTGCGCGGATTCGGAGCGCGACGGAATTTATCTTTTAAGGAGAATCGTTTTTTTTTCTTTTCTTTCTCGAAGAGACGCGCGAACGAACGCAAATGTGTCGAACGTCGGAAAATTTTGATAATTCGCGCCGCTGAATGCGACTGCATTTGTCTCGCGTTCGCAGACGCGATATCGAGCTCGATAACGGCGCCGCGTGAAGAAAAAGCTTTAATCGAGCCCTCCGGCCGATAGGGGGAAACTTTGTTCACAGCCTGTCTACTCGCCATTTTGCGCCAGCCAATTAGCAGCGACACGATGCACCCTCGTGCAGCAAGAAACGGAATTTCGCTATCTCTCTCTCTCTCTCTCTCTCTCTCTCTCTCTCTCTCTCTCTCTCTCTCTCTCTCTCTCTCTCTCTCTCTCTCTCTCTCGCTCCTCCGTCGCTCTCGTCGTCCGTATCGGTATCTGCATAACGCGCGCGACACAATATCGACTGCTCCCATTGGCATCGTTTACCTCGGATCGAATTTACGATACTTCAGCAGATCGCGGAGAATGGTGTGTTCTTGCGAGCGGAAAGTCGAGGGTGGCTAGTGGAGTAGATAGATATAGCGCGCGTTAGGGGTTGGTCGGAGGGCAACATTTCCGCCGCCAGCGCTGGCGAAATTCACGATACCGTGCTTCCCGAGAGAAGCTTCGATATCCTTCTCTCCTTTCTTTCCTTTCCGCGAGACGAAGAAATAAAAATTTGACACATACGCGGTGGCACTTGAGACGATATGGCGATAAACGTCGAGCGCTCGGCTCGGGCTTAAAAAGCATTTTCATCTCGACCAAAAGTATAATTTCACATTTAATGAAATCTTGTATGTACAAGTATATCATACATAGAAATATATAAATCTCATGTATATATGTATCCTCCGCGGGGAAATCAGTTTACAATCTCATTATGTAAATATCATGACGCAATAAAAATGATCTAATTACGAGCGCTAAGATTCGCAAATTAAATTAGCGCATCTCGATCGCGGTAAACATGACGTAACCCGAGTCGAAATTTGGGTTCCACATTAGCCCTGCAAATTTCATTGAACTTGAAAAACTAATGCGGAAATGAATCATTGTATATGTTATTGACCAACCTTATCGTCATTTTTTCTATCGCGTCGTACCGCGAGCACGACAAAAAATAGTCGTTTGGAACTATTTAATATCCGATTATCTTATTATTTTTTGTTTTTTTATTTTTCTGATTATTCCTATTTTTCTGATTATTCTATTTTCTATTTTTAAATTATTCCATTATTCTTAGTATTCCGTCTAGATTTGACCTTTATTCTTTCTTATGTTTCAGTAAACAATGTATTAATTTACATAGTTTTTGCTTCACTGCAGATATTCGTGATGAGCGGATATTAAATAATGAGTGAATAGAGAATAAATAATGGGTAAATAAAACAATACACATTGTACTTTTTTAAATTCTGTTGTTTTTATCGTTGGCATTGTCCACGGGTTTTAGAAATTCAAAATGCTGAAAAGGAAAAGTTGTAAAGGCAAAAATAACAATTGTGTGCCCAATAATGCTGCGTATTATCATAAATTTAAATTCGAAGTCGATACAATAACAAGAGAATAAATAGACATGAGAAAAGAACGTTAACAGTTCAATATAAAATTTGCGACTCATGCTGCATTATTAAGGGCAAACGTCAGCATTTGAGAAACCTTCGCTAAATTCTACAAGGCCGGTATTCACAATTAAATCTTATTTATCATTCTTCATTAAGATTATAATTAATGTCAGATTCGTATCCGGAGGCCGCTACTTGACTCATTCGAGCGATGTTTTTCTCTTGTATAAAATAAGTACAAATTGACGAATAGTCAGCGGGTCGTATTGATTTCTTAATTCAGTCATATAATATATATGCGTCATTCTTTAATTCGTAATTGTATCTGTAATTACGATTCTGCTGAAAGCCTTTAACATATTTAACTTTAAACTGAAACCTGCATATCCCGCGAGAAACGAGTTTCAAGTGACAACTATTAATACGGATCGAAAATCCATGAAGCTACGACATGAATAATGACAGAATACCGGCCTAAATTTCGACTCGAGCATTTCTTTGTTCTCGGTTCGTTCGTCGGATGTCCGTTAAAATCGGAAACATCCCGCATAATAAATGATTCGGCGTACCTGCAAATGCATGATGTATCTCTGTCCTCCTCTCGGCGTTCTCTCTCTCTCTCTCTCTCTCTCTCCCTCTCTTTCTCTCTCCGCGACCTCCACCCTCTGTCTTGGTTTCCTGATCCAGCATCCAGCATCCTGTTCTCGACTGCTCAGGACTGCCCATCGTGGCACTGACATTGACACTCACACTGGCACTGGCACTGACACTGACACTGACACTCGCGTAGATACGACGATTCGATCGAAAAACGAAATACCGCGTACTTCGGGTTGAGATATGTGCGTCGCTCGCCGGCCCGACAACGGAATAATACGCGAGATGCCCGAGCATACCACAACAATCGGCAGAAAAGGGCAGAATCATCTGCGCCGAATCGTCGATTGTGTCACTCGCCGATCAATGGCGTGTACGTTCGGCGACCGCGAAATGACAACAATCAACACTATCGAATATGGCGAGTTTCCGTGGTGATTGTCAGGGCCGTCGCACGCGTGGTACGTGCCCGAAAATACCCGAGTCCAAATGATACCGAAGTTATATCCGAATTTCTCTTTCTCTCTCTCTCTCTCTCTCTCTCTCTCTCTCTCTCTCTCTCTCTCTCTCTCTAATGTATAAGGATGCTGATTTGTGCTCCTTATATTATTTGGTGTTGAATATAACTCAATAGTACGATTGAATACAATTCACAACTTCCTCTAATGTACAATGTTTCATTCTTCTCTAAAATATTTTCTCTATTGAAGTTTCTCGGGAAAAATTGCTATCTCTGGTCTTGCGATTTCCTTTTCGTTCTTTCTTGAATCTTCAAATTTGATTGAAATTCCCAGCGCTAAAAAATAACAATAAGCAGATTATTAAAAAGGACTATTTAAATTTGATTCTCGTTGTTTAATCTTATTGTTTATATAAAAATACATTAATTATGGAATATTTACTATTTAATTATTTAACATGTAATATTTAATATTAATAATATAAATATATTAATATATATTGCTTAAAAGTATATAAACATACCGATATTATTTAACGTTTGCTTATCGCGTATACTTTACCTGCATTTAATTAAGTTATAAAATTTATATTAATTCCCACTGCTCACATACGGGAATGAAAAATAAAGATATGTATAAATGCAGATAAAATATCGAAATAAAATATTAAATATATTCGAATACTTTTTTAAGGTAACTCCACGCGTCCCGTGCGACAAATTTTTTTTTGAATATTTATAGCACGATATTTGAAGCGCTTCCAAAGGCTGTTAGTTTTCCTTTAAGACCCAATATGAAAAGAATTGTAAACAAACAATAAATTCTAGCATCAAAGTACAATATCAGCTCGCACAACGTTATAACTCGAGATTCTCTATTAGTCTTTCAAGTCCGATGAAATTTGCAAGTTTAATGCGGAAACACAATTTCGACTAGAGAATGTGCTACAAACGCAATGAGATTCGGGAACGTTAACACGATTTTGCGAAATTGTCGAATTATCGATAAAATTTTATTCGCTTTTAGAACGCACGTTTGATCGAATCGGGCAGCAATTAATTTCGGTAATTTCGGCACGAGGGGAACAGTGATAACTTTCGAAACGCTAGCGGGCCCATTCTTTCCCGCGCGTTCCCGTCCGTCCTGCTGCGGAAAGCTTCGCGGCTACTTATTTCTCCGTTTTTGAACATGCAAATTCGTTTTCATCTGCTCAACGAGTCGAAGTACCACGAGGTGCTACGGAAATGCCGCGATGTGCGACCGCGAAACCGTAAATACGCGTGTTTGGCACTGGCTGCAACTGATATCGGACGCCGTTTTATTGGACATCGCAGCATGTTGCATTGACAGTAACAGCGTTAACGAGCCCGTGCTTCTCCTCCTCCTCCTCCTATTGCTGCTCCTTCTCCCTGCCCCTCGATGGCTCTTTCGATAATTGATATGATAATTAACCATTTCCCTGCGCCGCGATTTGTGGATACGCGGCCACGTTTAATTGTCGTTATATTGACGCGCTGCTTTAATGGCTTCTGAGAATGCGATGCATTAGCGAGGTCGGCGTTAGTCATGCGCGATTATCTCGCGGTATAATCGCCAATGGATGTTCTCCGTAAGAAACGATTCTCTCCGATATTGCGTCTGAAATCGGGTCGCCCGAAAATTCGGAGAAAGCGCGAGAGCGAGAGAGAGAGAAGGAGAGAGAGAGAGAGAGAGAGAGAGAGAGAGAGAGAGAGAGAGAGAGAGAGAGAGAGAAGAGTTCCTCGTCATTGAGATTTTCCTCCGGCTCTTCTCGCATCGGGCGCTCATCTAAAAATTATATTATTTCATACGAGATGTATATATTCTCTCGTGCCTCTCGCTCTCCCCTGCCGCTGAAAAATACAATCCTTGTCGGGACTCACGATCGTCACGGTGTAAATCGAAATTCCGTATTCAATTTGAGTTTAGTACGAATGATTTGCTCGCGCTCGCGCTTGCGCGCGCTTTAATAGCGGCTCGCAGGAAATATCTGCCGAGCAGCGCGCGACTGAACAAATACGTCCCGGGGTTAACGGCGTTTCGTCTCTCGAACGTAATGAAACGCCGCGATGACGCCGAGAAAACGCTCGGGCGAATTGCCGTGCTCTCTGGGAGGAACGACGACGACGACGACGACGACGACGACGACGATGATGGCGACGGCGACGGCGATGAGCACGTCGACGTCGACGTCGTTCACTACGACGTCGTGTACATTATTGGCTACCCGCCGGCGAACGTTATTGATGCCACGTGTAACGCGCGTATCTGTCCAGTTCCACGCGTTGAGATTATCATGTAAACGATAGCCGACGAAGTACCTTCTGTACGTCCGGTGTAGCGGACGCTTGTGTGCGACGCGCAGGAGGATGCATCGTTGCATCGACGAAAGGGAGACGCTGGCGGGGCGGGCAGCGGACAAGGGTCAGCTGATAGCCGACAATTATCTTTCAGTGTAGCTCGAACAATCGAGCGGGACTGGTCGTCGCGTTGTCGTAAAACGTCGCGACTACTTTGTAAGCGGGCACGCGCGCGCGCACGGAATTTTATCGCGGATTTTATTCGCGAGATATCGTCTTCGATAATGACGTCGACGATAACGTCATTGTGGAGGCGGCAGCGCCGGCGGCGGTCTACCTTCGATAAACAGATCTCGACTCGAAAATCTCAACTGAAAATCAATGGCTGTGCAACCGAGCCGTGCGACTGAGCGTTGAGCGCGCGAAATTTCGCCCGTTTAATCCCACACGTTCGTCAAAGGCAGAAAGGCCGAAAACGTCGCGCGCGGTCTTCTGTTTTTACCCTCTTTTCACCCTTTCGGTATCGAAAACACACATATACGTCGTGTGCGCCTCTATAAGTTGTGCGATATACATATATATACACACACACACACACACACATATATACAATATGTATATGTATATATTTCGTCATTACGAAACGCAGAATTGAAATGCTTCGGCGACGGCTGATAAACTACGATCTGATGACCCGAATGTTTATTTATTCAACGGCGATTCGATTTGCGATTGCAGACATCAGTAATCGGTAAGTCTTAATGAGAGTTTCCTCCTCTGTGACTTCATTCCTTGATTGACTGCGTTAGCGACAAACTCAGTTCAGCTGTTACAGATTTCAGTTTCTCGAGAAAATAATTTTATTTGTTGTGTGTGTGTGTGTGTGTGTGTGTGTGTGTGTGTGTGTGTGTATGAGAGACAGAGAGAGATCTATTTGTCACACGATCGTATTTTTTTATTTGCGCAAGGCACAGCTCTGAAATAATCTCATTTCGCAAAAATTGCAGCGTACAAAAGCGCAAGGACGAGTAACTCGCGGCGATAAGCTGCGCAAACGTTATCTCAAGGTTCGAGGTATCGAGAACATTTTGAAATTTTTATCGTCGCTGATGCGACGGTCGTTCTTCGATATCCACAAGCACGCAACAAAGCCCGGGTTATTAATAACAGTCGTTTTTTAAACCTCGATTATTTTTACCCGCTTTGGTTTATTATTTTACGGTCAATATGAAAAATATCACACACTTCTAATATATCGTATATTACACACCTGTAATATATACATATATATATATATATTTATATCGTGAGGGACGATTTCCTGCCTTCTCGCGACGCGTCGTTCAACGTCGTCGATTAAAATACGACGAAAAAGTAAGTCGCGAGCGATTATCTCGAATCGCACACAAGAGACACCAAGTTCGATCGAACGGGAAAATCGAGGGAAAATTTATCCGTCTGGATTTCCGAATAATCTCGATCTCGATGCTATCGCAACGAAAGTCCTCTCCACTTTCCCTCGCCCGCTCGGAATCCTCACGAAAACACGAATCGTCCTTTTTACTTCCGTTATTCTTCGCATTGCGTCACGAGCTTATTTTCGTCCGGGCGACGATATCCTCGTTGAGTGCGCTGCGCTCTGTATCAGTTATATTAGATTCCGCGACGTGGCACGACGACAACACGGTCGGCCGTGTTGGGAGAAGGGGACAGGAGAGAGGAGAGTCGCGATGCCTACGTAACGAAACTTGCAAGCTGTCAAGCGATAAGTCGCGAACGATACGCGCGGCGAGCGCTCGCCTTTTTTCCGCGAAAAAACCTCGGTTATCTGCAACGAAAACAGGACCGTCGGAAATTGCAGGCGCTACGCCGGGGGAGAAGGGTTGCTCGACGGACGTTAATACATTTTACCGTCGTTTCAACGCAACTTATTTGCATCCGGCATCCGTGTGCTTGCCCCGTATGTGTGTGCACGCGCGCGCGCGCGCGCGCGTGTGTGTTTCCTTTTTTTTCTATATTTTACGCGCCGCGCTCGCGTGGCGCTCGTTTAAAGCAATTAAACGAGACTCAGTTGCGCTCGCGACGGACGCAAAATCGCGCGCACGCACGTTGCATTAACGAACGGCTAATATTGATAAAACTGTATGATATATTAAATAATTAAGTATCTAATGTGCTTCGATATATTTATCAAGTATTCGGTAATAAAATCCCGCCTGTCGCCAGACATTGCACCGCATTACTTTTTTTCTTTCTTTAATAACTCGTCCCCTCCTCGCGCCGCGAGAATCGTTGATACGCGAAGCGCAAGAATCCTCAGCGGCAGAATTGAATTGTGAAAACTGCATTAAACGGACGAAGAGAGCCGTGTGCGAGGATCCGCTCGCGCCGCCACTTCTCGCGCGTAATACTTAAATGGAACTGAATCTTAAATTTAATCGAGCGGCGTTTCTCCTTTCTCTCTCTCTCTCTCTCCCTCTCTCTCTCTCTCTCTCTCTCTCTCTCTCTCTCTCTCTCTCTCTCTCTCTCCACTTTCGTCGAGGGACGAAAGGAAGCGGGCAACAGGGGCAAGTGGGGCGCGGAAGGGGGCAAGATAGAGGCACGGGCGCTAAGTGGAACTGCAAGTTGCGCTTAATTTGTTAATAGAAGCGCGACGGAGCGCGGCGGAAAAATGTTTAGAAATGTCATTCGAGGGTTAATTGATACGACGACGCCCGTACCGAATCGAATTTATCGTCCGAGCGTGCTCCGCGGGGAATTATTAAAAGTTCAGTTCCCGACGTCTTGCCCGGACAAGCGAGTGAACGGACGAGCGAACGTGCAGAGATCGCATTTCCCGCTCGGCGCTGTCCACGCTTCTTCTCTCCCTCTCTCTCTCTCTCTCTCTCTCTCTCTCTCTCTCTCTCTCTCTCTCTCTCTCTCTCTCTCTCTCTCTCTCTCTTTTTTTTTTTTTTTTTTTTTCTCTCTCTCTCTCTCTCTCTCTCTCTCTCTCTCTCTCTCTCTCTCTGTCTCGGATCAATTTTTATTTACAACGAGTCGATAAACCGACGCAGCGTCCGTCGGTCCGCCGAGGAAATTAGAGAGCTCGCGGCGAAGAGACCCGAGAAGATAATCGTTGTGCAATAAGGAGAAAAAGGTAGATCCGAGAGTACACACGGCGCGACATTGAGTTCAGCGCGCAATCGACGGCGATAAGCGCTTAAATATTATTCCAGTCGACGTATCAGTTCACAAGCTCGTGTTCACAGACGGAGCGCTCCACGAGAGCGCTGCGACGACTACGTTCGATCTCTGTCCAGATTCATTCTTGTTAGAGGAAGTTAAAGCAAGTAGCTCGTCTGTGAAACGGGCAATGTTCTTCATATAACTATCCTTTACATCTCGCCTTATCGCGTTGACTTAGATTGATATTTATATGCTCGCCGCGCGCTTCTCCGTGGCTCGCGATCGCGCTTCGAAATTGGGCCACCTTCCGAGCAAGCGATTCGAGTATAATGAGCCATGCTGCGAGGAGAACGTAATAAAGCCCGACGAGTGGTTGGAAATTTGAAAAAAGTACTTCCGGGCAAACAGAGCCGCCGCCGGTCCTTTCCCTCTCCCTCTCACCTACTCTCTTGCTCTCTCGTCCTCCTCCTCCTCCTCCTCCTCCTGTTTCTCCTCCTCGCAGTCGGCACTTGGTTCGTTTACCTCGTTGGTCAAATTACGCGACGGCAAACCCGCACGGCGGATCCGAAATGGGAAACCGTTTCCGGACCCGCGAGGCACTATCCGCGACGATGGAGAGAAAAGAGCGAGACGAGAGAGAGAGAGAGAGAGAGAGAGAGAAGCAGCCGACGAGAGAGTCGCTTTAAGATGGCGACCGCTTCAATTGCGCGAATTAACCCCTAACGAGAAATCTCGACCTCGCCGGAGCGGACTGGGAAAGGGAGACGCTTTCTTAAGACGAATCTAGTTGACGGGAAGTTGTGCGCATAATTCAGCAATCGAACATCATACACATGAACTGTGCATAATGATCTCGCAAAGATACGAATCGAGGGGTGAGGGAGGGGGGGGGAGGGAGGGAGAAAAGAAAAACGGGTTGTTTCGAAATTAAATTTCGAAAGTAAATTTCCCCGTCATTCGCGAGCATCGGATCGTTTATGAACTTTGGACCCGATCGCTCGTCACCGTCGCGTTGCAAATATCACCGTGAAGACGTGCGGAGACGTCTGCGAGCGAGAAAGCCCGGCAAGTCGCGGGGAAGAAACAAGGAGAAACAAGAAGGCGAAATACAGAAGAAGAGGAACGCGTCGAGACGGCCGTCTATTCGTCCCGATCTTTATCGGAGCGGCGAAAATCCGTCGCTTTAAATATTCGTCGGGACGCTAATGGACCGGGTATTATCCTTGCTCGCGCGTTCACTCTCGCGTCGCCCCTCCCCGTTCCCCTTCGCGCTTTCCCTCGTATTCTTTGATCCGTCGGCCGCGGTGAATCGTCGGTACGTCGGACGACTAATAAAACAGAATCGTCGTCCGGCGCGAGTTCACGCGCTAATTCCGAGGGATAGAGAGGAAATTGCGGGGATTATAAGAAATATCAACGATACACGCACCGTGTGTGTCGTCGTCTCTCTCGTTTCCATCGAGAGGGGAGTGAATAAATAAATAAATAAATAAATAAATAAATGTGCGTCTCAAGCGGCATCGCGCGTTCAACACACACAGCGCGGATCCCGAATAATTCCTTTCTCCACGGGCGATGTTAACGAGACTTTCTGTCACGCGAAGGTTGGCCGGCCGTGCTATACGTGCCACGGGGACAATTACCGCGAAACAAAAGCGCGCGCTCGTCCCTCTCGACAGTGGCCTTTGCAACGGCCACGAAAGATAATCGAGTTAATCGTCCTACCCGCCTCCTCCCGAAACCCTCCTGCCGCGTCGCGCCGCGCCGCGCCGCGCGTTCTGCAACATCGAAAAGTCCGACGAGAAACGTGTAACTTGCACCGTCTCGTTGCTGAAGAATCCTTGAAATTCGATTCCCGAAAAATCGAACACGGACACGAATGGCGGACTTTTCGGCGGGCCACTCATCGTAGTCGCGTTCAGCTGGAAAAGCGAAACGTTGTCTCGTCTACTTCAACTTTTATGCAGTCGGGATATAAGAGAGGTCCGCGCTTATTAACCGCCACGCAGATCCCCACTGATTATTTCAGCTCAAGCTCGACTCGGCAAAGCTGCGGCGAATCAATGCAACTCGCGATGCGCATGTTCGTTGATCCATGTTTCATTGCCTTCATATTATCGGCTGCGTATTTAATTTGTGTTAAACGTCAACGGTAACCAAGTTGGTTATATGATATTATAACCAGCTCACGCATTTTACGTTGATTACGTGAATCAGTGAAACGCGGTAATGTCGCAGCGTCGGTCACTGCGGTGACCATTATGACAGCCGACGTGTTAACAAATGTTGAATGTGCACTCGAAGAAACTAAATGTCCTCCGTGTCGACGTGTGCAAATTTGTGTCCTGGAAGATCGCCAGACGCGGTGGCGACGCCGGCGGCGGTTATTATTATTATCATCGTCATTGTTATTATTATTATTATTATTATTATTATTATTAACAACTTGGGAGGCGATACGCGCCGCGGAATTCGAGCGTGTGCGCACGCGAAGACAAATAATTCTAATCTTTCTCCATCTCTCTCCCTGCCTCCCTGTCCTCCCTCTATCGCGCGAACAAGCAAGAGCACTCGCGGAGATAAATA